TTTTTTTATACAGAAGCGCAAACATTAAAAGTGTGTAACAAAAAAAGTACTAAATATGAGTATGTTTTGCTAAGTCCATTGTTTAGCACTATTTTTATCATGAAACCTGTTCTTATAGAATAAACTCATTAAACCCGTGAAACAAAACTTGACTTCTATTAAAATGTGATAGTCAAATGACTCTCAAATAGACACAAAAGAAAACAACGCAATTAGAGCGTACGAAGGTATATTATTTTTATTTTTATTTTTTTTGTTTTTTTGTGTGTGTTTATTTATTTATTTTAGAATTTAATTTAGTAATTACATATGTACCAAATTGTACCTAATTATGTGCCACCATCTTTGGTTATTACTTTTAAATTTTAGATACAGTGCAAATAATGAAACTATACTAACCAACAAATTGAGTGAGGTAAATAGAAAGTAAAATATATTTTATAATGCTTGTGGTAATTGCCCGAGGAAACTTGATGTTCACAAAGCAAATTATAGTTCAGTGCCCGAGAAAGCAGTCCGACGCCAACTATGAAGTTTCTAGAAACATCCAGTTTCCAATGGCAACTATCACAGCAAAATTCCTGAGATTTCAACTACTCTATTCAGTGTTTTTATTATTCGACAACAAAATGTTCTGAAGCAGCGTGCTCTATAAACTTCTGATATTATCCCTACACGACGTGCTCTAACGCGTCACGTGGTCGACTCTCCACCAATAAGAGTGGAGGAAAATGTATCTTTGAATTATAAATACACCTTGGTACGTTCCAATTCCATTATTTCCTTTTGTGCAATTTTGCCGCACTTCGTAACGAAAATTTTGTTCTCGGTTTGAATGATCTCGCCGAAGTATGCCATTGTTAGACAATAGAAAACAAACGAATTCGCAGAATTTAGCTATATTTGGTAAGCTAGCTATTTCATGGTTGTAGAGGGTAAACTGCACTAAAAGCATGAAAAAGTACCAACCAAAATTGCGCTTAATAACGCATTCTAGCATTGCAAATAAGAGTGCAGTAAAACCAACGTGAAATAGTTATAATACTAACAAACCTTAGGACGCTGTAATTGCTTTCTTTTGTGCCTATTTGACTTTCACACTTAAATAGTCAAGTTTTGTTTCACGGGTTTGTGACCTCACTCTAGACAACAACGGCAAAGCACACAAACTAAAAGGAAACAAACAAAACGAGAAGGATGCACAGAATCTGGTCGAAAGACAATACAAATTCAATCACAACAATAGCAATAACATGCAAAATCTAAAATAAAAACAGAAAAAAAAACCCGAACCGAACAACAACAATCAACAAAAATGTTTTACAACCTCAGTCAGTTAAACTTGTCTCATTTTTMACGCATGAACTTATATTAAGTTGTATAGATATTATTGCGCTTTTGTGAATAACATATCTCAGTATTCAACTTGAAGTAAAGTGTTAATAAGTCCTTACYTACATAAGATAGAATACTCTTGCATTCAATATCAAAAACTAGCACACTCAACCATTACTTGACTTCCAAAAGACTCAGTATCTTTCATCATCTAATACAACATTAATGCTAYCCAAAATGCACTATTTATAAGTGTATGTTCACCTTCCTTTGAATAGCCGTAAGCCGGTGTTTTTTTGAAGGAATCCAAAACCGCAAAAAGTGAATTAYAGACTGATAATTCGCGTTTAACTGAAATTTGTTTGCTCGAGTGTAGGAGTAAAACTTGAAAAACTGACAATTCTTTTCCACCTGGAAATCGAAGTATATTGTTATTGGGAATGCTAAGAAAGAATCAAATAAATAGTCGGAAAGGCGGCAAATGTATCATTAATCGGCGAAAAAATTAGTTTTTTTTAAGGAATTAGTGCAGGCGAATAGGCGTAAGCGACATCCATTACTATGATCAATCATTTCCAAGAAAAAAAATGGTAAAAACACTTACTCACATTAAAGGAACAATAATGTTTGTCTTTGATATTTAAAGTAAAGAAAAAAATTCACGATGACCCCCTTTTTGGTAATTGTAAAGTATTCAAATCGGAAAATTAGTGTTTCCTTAAGGGAAACTGCGTGACAGCTGTCGGCGGGTCCTAAAAGTTTATTAGACACAACAGCTATTATGCAATGTGATTGGCTRCTTTTATAGAGTGATCTGAATAAATCCGTGAAATGAAAGTGTAACCATGAAACTGCAATAAAGGATACACCACTTGGGTATTGTTTATTGGATCAAATAAACTGTTCTGGTTCAGTGCTAACGACTATTAGAAACTAATAGTCCCTATCAGTTAGTACTTTTTAGTTCTTATTTCATGGTTCATGTGACTCTGCTCTACATGGTTCGTGCCACTCCTTGAAAATCCTGGAAAAGCCCTTGAAAATCGAAAATCGCTAAAACTCCAGGAAAACTCCTTGATTCTGATGAAATTGACATGTTGTTTGTTAGGTTTTTGATTGAATGTGGATATTTTCGAAAATCGCCTCTGG